AAAACCATCAAAGTGGAGGGTCCAAATGGTAGGAATGCAATAAAGGTAACAGGACAATGTCATGTAAACATTAAATACAGTGCCTTCCACCTTCATAAATCCTCAATGTTCATGATTAAATGCTGCCGGTTATAAATTATGCAACCAAATTCTAGAAACAACCACAACTGAAATAAGACACCAGTGGAAGCCATAAATTGTCTATAGTTTTTCTTCCCAGAAAACTCTGTGTCTTTATTAGGAGATAGTTTTTGAGTTCCTATTTTCCTTAACAATTATTTTTTCTCACTTCATTTAGCTTCCTATAATAAACTCTAGTCCTGGTTAAAAAGTAATAGTCCAAACCTTTAATCCCAGACAATAATCTGCCATTTTATATGGTAAAGTACCTTTTTGATTTGCAGGTATCTTTTAAAGTTTTCTTAATATAGCTTAAGTCTCTAAGATGTCACCCTTTTTAGAGTCCTGTATCAGATGTTTCTGCAACAGTCCAATTTCTCACAGGTATTTACAATCAAATTATTTTATTACACATGGGAACAATTAAACATTTGGCCCTCAGCTGTAAACAATTACTATATAAAATGACATTCACGGATTTTTTCTTAAATACTCATGTATTCCTAATGACCTCTGTTAACATAAGTGAGATTGATGTATGTGTATTTTATGTGTCTCCATAAACGATTATATTCCCAAACAGTATCAAAAGAGAGAGTTTACCTAGAGAATACACTAATCTTGTCTTATACCATGTGGTCACCTGCAATGATTCCTTTCATGTATTTGTTTTTCTTCAATTGTCATTTTATTTCTGTTCCAATTTAATTCTAAAGAACTGCTGGTGTTCACAGCAAGACGCAAGTAAGGATTTGGATAATTTGTCTTTTTAAAGATTTGGGGTGTCAAATTCTAATAAATTGATATCCATGTTGGAAGTAGCAGACAGGTACAGTAAATAAGGTGAGATACAACCAATAGATTGGGGCTTGAATCTTGGTTCTGCCCATTTCTAGTTGAATTACTTTGGACAATTTACTTTTTTCAGAATTAGTTTGGATAGTTATAGGACTATTCTGATTATTAAATGAAGTATGTGTTTAAAGAGATTAAGCATATACTACATAGTTATTACATATTAATTTCTCTGTTGTCTCCCATACTTCTTTCCCAGAAAGGCCTTTGTGCCTCTTTTTGTGACTTTCCCTTTTGGGAATATCTATCCTTAGTTGTCTCATGTTTAGGGATACATTTTCCATTCACTAGATCCCTCTTATCTACAAATGACAACCATGGAAGAAACTCACAGATTTTTCTATGGCCTCCCATACTTCTTTCCCAGAAAGGCCTATGTGCCTTTTTTTGTGACTTTCCCTTTTGGGAATATCTATCCTTAGTTGTCTCATGTTTAGGGATACATTTTCCTTTCACTAGATCCCTCTTATCTACAAATGACAACCATGGAAGAAACTCACAGATTTTTCTATGGCCTCCCATACTTCTTTCCCAGAAAGGCCTATGTGCCTTTTTTTGTGACTTTCCCTTTTGGGAATATCTATCCTTAGTTGTCTCATGTTTAGGGATACATTTTCCTTTCACTATAGATCCCTGTTATCTACAAATGACAACCATGGGAGAAGCCCACAGCTGTTTTCCTCACATCTAGAAATAAGTCAACTGGTCCCAGTTGCAAGGATACCTAACAGCTGTATCCAGCCTAAGAGGTCAGAGCTAAAGCTGAGTGGTAAGGTTTCAAGGGCAAAGCTCTAGATGTAAAGAATGATAAAACAAAACCTAAATGAGCCCGCACATATCTAGTGACAGATACACCACAGCTATTCTAAATTATTCAAGCTTTCTCAGACTTCTAGCAGGAGAAACATAATTCATCTCTGCTCTCTTTATTCTACTCTCATATCATGGCAAAGAAGCAAACAAAAAGTATAGCTCCCTCAAAAAACATTATAATACTCATAGAGAGAAGAGCTTCTTTAGTACATGTGATATTTTTAGAACCATCGAATTTCTGGGAACTAGCTTTGGAAGTAGAAGTTAAAAATGATTTTGCAATACTTAAGGGTGATTGTCTTACTTCCCTTTTGTTAGCATTCTGCTGGCAAAATGCCAGTAAAACAGTTGTTTAATAATTACCCAGGACATCAAAAACATATAACCTCTTAGACAAGCTGTAACTGTATTTTAGCAGCCATAATACTAAGGTCAAAAGTAACAAAGAAAATTAACCTTCAAATAAGCAAACCTCAAAAGAACAGTTTTGTATATTGAGAATAATTAATAACTTGTTTAGGAAAATGTTACTGAAATGTGGTTTTTGGAAAAGGAACTGACACTCTTCAGAGGTTAGATATCCGAGTATTTAACAGGCTACCATTTGGTGGACAGGCTAGCTGGCTACCCTGTAGGCATGGCAAAAGTTTGTTCACATGTTATTATGCAACATTTATACAATATCTTAATGATACCATGTAGTTCAGCTGAATCAGTCCAGCTGGAAATTGTAGCAGCATTTAGATTACCCAGCCACATGTGAAATTAAGGCCTTTTCAAACTCTCATTTTTACTTGCTATGTTTTGATACAGATATTCTTGGAAAGCCTAAATTATTTACAGTTTGACAAGATTTAGCGAAATGAACTCCTCCCTTTTCACTTTTAACCATTAAGATTGTATTACCATATAAGATATTTAGCTTGTCATTATAAGAAATGCTTAATATATTTTATTACATAGAAAATAAAATATTAGTATATTTTGGACAGTTAGGATGGAACTTTTCTACACCCCTTTTACATAATATATATTGTATATTTTCCTTCTATGCAAGTAGTTCCTATTGTAAAGATGAAATCCAGTGGGTACTGTGGAAATCATTTTACTATGCAGCTAATCACACATGATTGTTATTCTAGAAAATAGCAATTTAAGTTGTGTAAACTAAAACAGTAGATTTGTCCTTAAGTCACATCATAAAGACATTTAAAGTATAGCACAAACATTTTTTAAGAAGAAAAAGGATTGCTCAAGGATAACACTGAAATTTTATTATATTCTCTTGAGTTTTCTCCATGAAAAATAAGAAATCAGTCCATGGGATTTTTTTTTTTTTTTTAATTCCCAGCTCACTCTGTCCAGCCCAGTGTTTGGACAGCTTCTTTCCCATCCTCCTAACTGAATGAGATCACACCATTTTATGTTAGAAGTAAAAGAAGGTTTAAAATTTTTAATTGAAAAACCTTAAAGGTTATACATAGGATCTAGTGAATTCAAGTAACAAATTACTTTTAAGCAAAAACAATTGTCATCATTATAACATGATTTCAGCTACTTTCTATGAATCAGGTATGGAATAGTTAATATCTCTAGTATGAAACATAAAATGAAACACTTTAAAAACATTTCTATGCATATTTTTATTGTAAGCATATTGTGAATTTCAGTAAATAAAAGCAGTGGCTGAGGAGGAATAGAAGTTAATGTTGAATGTGTATGCATCCCCACAGAAGAAAACTAAATCTTAATTCTTGCAAATTTGTATTAAAAAATAAAACGCTAAATTCTGTTCAACTGTCATTCCTATTAGTACCTGGTACTTTCTAAACCAAGGAATCTTGAAATGTGTGACTCGTGTATTAAAGTTAGCTGACAATCTATGCTTAGAATTCCTGAACAACTAACACAATAAGTCCCCGTTAGAGGTGACTTGGAATTTACCATTGAGATAATGCTAAGTGGTCACTAAAGATGTTTAAACATCATTGTCTACTGTCTTCAGTGTGCCATTACAGAGCCTTGAGTTCCTTTCAAATAACAATCAATAGGGGATGAATAAGTCTCACCACTTGAAAGTAACTGAGAAAGGAAGTCAACAGAGTAATCTGGCTTTGCAGAGTTGATTCAAGAAGAGACACAATATACACCCCTCCTCTTCTAGTTCTCTCTACCCCAACCAGCCCACACCCCTGCAAGAAGGAAACAAGGGAAAGAGAGAAAGGAGGAAAGAGAGGGCAAAGGCAAGACAAAATCTAGGGATCCCAGGAATAATTTGTGCTGAGGAGGAAACGTCACGCTGTGGGATAAACTATAGCCATGGAAACAGACTTATGACTTTTACTTTGAAAATAAAAGAATGACAATGAAATTTGTGTGAGGTCTGTGTGAATCCAGTCCCAGATGTTTACAATGCTGTAGTAGTATGGCTCTGCAATATGAGAGGTTTCGCCAGAAACAGTACAACAGGACACCACAAAGCAGCGCATACGCTATTGACAATGCAGACATGAGCATCATGTTACCAAGAGAGAAGGCAGGCAGAAGACAAATAGCAGCGGTGGTGCCTGAAAAGCTAACTTCATGGACTGCAATCACTCAAACTAAAATAAGGAACCCAAAACAAAACAAAAATCAAAACCAGAAAAATGCTTTTCGCTGATATCTAGAGGTGGTGGGGTAAAGGGATGGGGGTGGGGAGAGAGTAGAATTGACTTTTTTTCCTTAAAGCTCCCACAAAGCCCCTATAATTGACAGTGGATAATTATTTTCAGCTTGAGGAGCCTGCCCCAAAACTCTTAACAAGAAAGAGTAAAGGGGGAAAAAATGTGTTTACTTGAGCCATTTCCAGAAGGAAGGAATAAGAGCTCTTTGGATGAGGTGGGAAGGGCAGTGGAGAGAAAGAGGCATCTTTGCACTGCAGCAGCTCTCTTGGCTGCCCTGCATGGTCCGGCTAGTGACAGGCTGGAGGGAAGGGGTGGATAGGGCGGCAAGGGGTGGGGGTGTGGAGGGAGCGCACTTAGGGGAGGGGATGCGGCAGCACAATGTATACACGGGAGGGGGGTGAATTAGTGTGAAAGTATTCCACTTAATCATTTTACAGGGGTTGGGGACGTAAATATTTAGCTGGCCACATCTGGAACAGATTTTTCCCCCCCGTGTGGGCTGGGGGTGGATAATTGGAAGGAAGGGAGCACGCATTTGTTACTTACTGTACGGGCAGTTCTCCTTCTTGGTCCCGCTGACCTTCCCGTTCTTCTCGATCTTGAGAAAGTACTTGGTGAAAGAGAACAGCTTTCTCCAGCGGACATCTCCTTGAAGGTGATTGTAGCTCCGCACATGCCTTCCCGCGCTGGAAGGAGAGGAGGAGGAGGAGGAGGAGGAAGAAGAGTTGGTGGCCTCTGGTGACACCATGTCCTGACCAAGGGCTTGGCAGGTGACAGGGATGGAAGACACCAAGAACAGCAACAAGAAGCAGCAGCAGCAGCAGCCGCCGGGCAGGTGGGGAAAGGCTGAGGCACAATGTGTCAGTATCCATTTCCACATTGTACTGAAACTCTCGGCACTGGAAATTGTCGCATCAGAAGGAACATACTGGAAGGGTAAGACCTGGTGCAAAGCAAGGAGAGAGCTGGAGATGGTGGCTGCTGGTTAGCTCCCTCTGGGCGCGGATCTGGCCAGAAGTGAATGCACCAACATCCATAACTCCTCGGAAAAGCCAGCTGCCTCCCCTCGTTCCTTCTCGGGTCCGCTGCCTGAGCCTCTGGAGTCTCCCAGTGAATGGTGGATGTGGGTGGCCGCAGCAGCAGGAGCTGGTGGTGGCGGTCGCGGTGTTGGTCACCAGCGCTCTTCGCTCCCCCAGGAGTTACTTTGTTCTCTTCTTTACTCCTTTCTTCATGTTAGATGCCAAAAAGGTCTGAAAAACAGATGACAGCACGGTGAACAAAACCCAAGGGAGGTGGGGTGAGGGGCAGGGGGAGATATCTGCACCCCTCTGCGGCTGGCACCTTCTGGTCTCTCTCTGCGGAACCCCAGCCTGCGAGCCACTTCTAAAAGTGTATCCCTTTGGAGTTGTCAGAACTGGAGGCAGCTGCCCAGTCGCCGTTGTTTTCTTCCCTCTCTTCCTTTCTCTTTTTAGTGGTGCCTGCCGATTTGAAAGTCACTTTTTGTTTTTGGGGGATGGCGGCTGGTGTTTTGTTTGGACCTATCCCCCACCCCCTTCCTTTGGAGAGTCCACTTGTAAACAGGTTGAAGCCTGGAGTCGAAATGTCAGTGATTCTAAGCCAGAGGTGGGCTCTGCCTCTGCTGGTCAAACCTCATTTGCAGGGGTGGAGAAGAGGGGGGAGGGGGTCAAACTACGGTGGGACATCTGAAACCCTAGGCTGCTGGGAACGCCAGGGAGAGGGAGGGTGAAAGGGGCAGAGAAGGGGGTGGAGGAGCAGGGGAGCAAGGAGAGAGCGGTGCCTTTACTCCGAGCTCCGGGGCTGCCGGGTCCCTTCCACGGTTTGGCTGTCGCAGCCGCAGCCTCCGCCGGCGCCCCCAACCCTGGCTAATTCGCAGCTAAAGCGTCCTGTGCTCGCAGTATCCTCCTGCTTTCCGAATTTTACTGTCTCTCAGCCTGAACCAGTCCCCTCTGGGGAGCCCCTTTCTCACTTGTTTTCCAGCATTAGGATCTCCTCCCCCCACCCCCATTTCTTTTGGCAGTGAAGTACTTGAGAGCCACCTGGAGCCTGGTGCTTGGCTGACTTTTTCCCCCTTCTCACTCCCAGAAGAGGAGAGGGCTGGGAGAAAGCAGAAGATGCTGAGGATTTTAAACCCTCCAGAGCAGCAGATTATAAACTGGTCGGAGCGAGCACAAAAAAGGAAGACATAATTAGCGTCTTTTCCTCCTCTGCTGCCAGCTTCCAAGGAGGTCTCCGCTTTAATGAATCACTGATTTCTCGCTTCCGTTGCTGAAGTAAAAAGTTCACACTTTGGCCCTCTCTGCCTTTCAAGCTCAGGGAGATTTATCGTCACCCTTAAAAGTTGCCTCTCTCTTGGCGCAAATGAAATCGGGGACCCAAATAACCGATTTCTAATTGCTTACATGAGCCCTTCACTGAATCACGCGTGCACTTCAAAGCGAACGCACTTTATTGAGATCGCAAAGATTTTACCATACAATTTGGCTGAATATCCCTGCTGTCTGTTTTCTTTTCTATGCAATTTCCTTTGCACTTTGTCATAAAGAGGAGTTTTTTTTTTCTATCTTCATATTTAACGTTTAAAGGGGCCTGTTTTACAATATCAATGCACTACCAGTCTTCCTCTCTTCTCACAGTCTTTCACACCACCCCAACTCCTCCCTTGCTCACAGAAACTAGCTCACAACCCAGGTATTGACAGAACTAAGTCCAAGGCTAGGAAGACTTTGCCAAGAATTAAGAGGCCCAAAAAAGGAAATACTGTGATAATCCATTCCAATTTGAATAAGAAACAGCTCCTAGAGGACCACTTCTTGAAGAATGACTCTAAACTAGGGAAAGTGTAACTGGAAGGAATGCCTAAACGTGTACTGGAATAAAGTCTCTATGTCACAGAGGACAGCTGGACATTTGTATTTTGTTGAAGCCCATAAAATTGCCAATATTTTGAGGTTTTGCACCTACAAAAGTGGTAATTTCATACGGTTAAACCTAAATTTAAGCTGCCAGTATAAGACAGAGAAACACTTCAAGGTGAACTGGGAGTTTAACAACAGCAACTATAATTTGGAGGAAACTAATTAGAAGAGCCTGTGTTCACACAAGCCAGGGTCCCTATAATGTGTGTTTGACCTCCATGTTGGTTGTGAACCAAAGGAAATGCAAAGAAATAAAAAAAAAAAAAAATGGCTTTAGAGATGAGGATTAGGAATGATTGCTTAATTATTTAGTGACTTGAAATATGGGTTTACATGAAAGTTCCTAAATTTTTCTGTGCATTCAAAGCCTTTGAACTAGAACCTGGGCAACATGATGAAACCCCATCTCTACTAAAATACAAAAAATTAGCTGAGTGTGGCAGCTTGTGCTGGTAATCCCAGCTACCAGGGAGGCTGAAGCAGGAGAATCACTTGAAACCAGGAGGCAGAAGTTGCAGTGAGCTGAGATCGCGCCACTGCACTCTAGCCTGGGCCGCAGAATGAGACATCATTAAAAAAACAAAATAGAATCATTTAATACTAGAATTGGGATTTTAATTACATTAGTTATAACTCATTGTAATGCTTATTTAGAAGATTTCAGTAATGTGGTGAACATTACCATAGGTTTTTAAGTTTAATATAATTCGCTCTAATTTCTGTAGATATTAATTGGAAAGTTAAGCAAATAAAGAGCATACGTCAAACAAGTCTTTTTCTTTAGGATATTGAAAAATGAACCAACAGTGCTAATTTCAATTTTTTAGTTCACAGTTTTATACCTGAGAGGACAAATGCCTGAAAGTAAGTGTACTGTTTACAGAGGATTTGGGTTTCAGCCCAGTGGTCCAGAAGAATCCAAATGTTTGAATTGACAACTAATTAAAACTACATGTTTTTTTAAAATTATGTTTGATGAAACCATACAATAAAGATTCTGCTGTGAAAAGTTACAAAACACAGGAAGTTATTATTTTGGGGTTTCTCTACAATAGGAACCAACACTATTGATGCCAGCATGGGATTTAAACATTGTTAAACTCACCCTAGACATGCGCCCCTCCAATCCAAAGCTAGTCTTTTTCCCTCTCTCTCTCACACACATCTACCAACTTTACATTCCAGTTGAAGAAGCTATTCAGATCTTTTAGCTATGAGTTTCTTTCTTTTTTTTTTTTTCTATCTAAAATAAGGGAAAAGACATCTTTAAACTTTCATATTAAAATCTGGTTGCAGCAGGTGCAGTGTTTGAAAGTTCTAGAGCCCCTTCGCCACTCTTCTGTACAGCTTGCTGACAAGAGGGCATTTACAAAACAGCCCAAAGGAAAAGCTGACATAGCTTTTTAGATTATATCTCATTCTTCTCTTTCTTTTCTGTACAGCCTTTCTTTTACAGCACAGTTGAATCCCTAAATACCCTACTACTTTGCATTGTTAGGTCACCTCTTAGGTTAGCCCGAGAAAGCCTGAGAAAAGTTCCACAGGAAAGATGCACTATTTAACGGAATTCAATCTCTCCCAATAGATTTGAATCACTAACATAAATGTATGAATGTAGATTATATCTCTGTAATGAGGCCTGAATCATTCTCAGTTACTTCAAAGGACTGAAATTCTACCTTCCTTTTTTAGCTGCAATAATCAGGTCTTAATGGGTTCCTTTATTAATTGTTTCTTTGCTAGGATTGAAAAGGACAGTACAAGCTTCAGATTAGAGTGGTACCTACTAATTCTCAAAGGCTGTTTTTCTCTTTTATCCAGCTTCTGGAAGGCATACTTTATTTCTATGCCCTAAATATATCTACTACAAAATTAGCTCTGCATTCAGGAAAATAGATGCAGCTTTTTGTTATACATAATGTCTCGAGAAATGATTTAGGCTTTTTAAAGCAAGACCATTGAAGAATCCTAAAACCTGGCTCGTGAACCTCAGAGAAGCAATCAGTGTATGTACAAGCAATTCTTTCAGTAGCTATTCTGTTTGAGCAGTTTACTGTTTACATATGTATTGCCTGGATTCTTTATGTTGCTCAGCACTATCTGTGGTTCACTTACAAGATGTGTGTCATATGTGTGATGTTATTGGCAGTGTCAGTTAGCTGCTTCAGATAATGCTAAGTCAGGTCAAAAGTCGGCCAGGCTGTTCAACAATTTAGACATGTGCAGGCCTCATTTTTTCAGCCTGTGGTGCAGCCCTTATGAGTATGTGTTCCAGCCCATTTTTCCGTTTTGGACATAGGATATGCCAGTTTGAAGGCATTGTTAAGACTTGTGCGCTTCCCAGGCTGCAGCTAGAAATGATGCTCAGAATCACTCACATTTGGGTGAATGAAGGAATGATATCTTATTGTTTTTAAACCAGGAGCTTCAAGTGAACAGAACAGAGGTGTTATCCCACAGAGAGTAGTGTGCACTGCTTCAGAGCCAGTGAGAATCTTAGCTATAACTGGATCCAACACATGCATTTTATAGATGAATAAGCTGATACCCAGATGACTCCATGGTAGACCAGAATTTTGAACTCCTGTGATAGATGGTAGACTACTAACCTAATTTTTGCAGCATATGTCCTGTTTATTTTCTTTATCTCCCTCCCTGCTCCCCTCTTACCATTGACCACTCATCATTATAATATGTCTAAGATGCCAGAGTAGAAATGATAGAAAGGGTCAGGGCTTTAGTTATGGAAAACCAATTATATCTTTGCTGCAATAAATTAACAGAGAAAAGTAAAAAGTAGTTTAGTGTTGAATTATTAAGTAACAGCTGTTTAGCCAAAATAAATATTGATATATGCTTGGCAAGGGAGGATATTTTATCAATGCTTCCGAGGTGAACACAAAAAGTAATGAATACCTCATATTTTCAGGAGATCCAAAATTTTTTTTATAGAACCTGAATTTATAAGTTCCCCTCTAGGAAACTGATGACACTTTATAGAAAAGTAGATTTATAATTTGATCCAGATTTCTGTGTTCTAATGTTAATTTTCCACAAAGTAGTGTGATATTTCAAAGCATAGGTTGCTTAAACAATTTTTTTCAAAGTTGGAAACTAAGGTTAATTTTCTGTTCTCTCACTTTCAAACAGACTTAATGATCTGTTATTGGGAAGGAAATTTGGCCAAAGATGATAAAAAGGATCTTTTGAAACAAACAAACAAAAATTCTATATAAGAATGTTTAAAACATAGAATAAATCACCACAAATTCCTGGAAACTGAACTTCACATCTTGGCACTAAACACAACAAACATATTTTCACAAAGCTGCTATTTGTCCCCTCCCAGCTGACGGTAAACATAACCTTCCTTTGACAAAACTGTGAAGTTTCTGAAGAGTTTTGTTTGTTTTCTGTGTTCCCAGCTGTGGTGCCTCCTTCTACTTCAAGCCCTGTAGGCATCTTAGTCCTGTTGCCTATGGCAAAATTGTAAACATTCTGATATTAGTCATTTATGTTTGTGAATTAGTTGGCAGATTATAATATTTTCTTTAAAGTTTTGATATCATGACAACAGACATGTAACTTTTTAATTTAATATTTATTGAGTGCCTACTATATGCTAGGTAGGCATTGTGAATGCTGTCAGGTTTTTCTAATAAATAAGACAGAGAAACTTACCCTGTAAAGAGTATGTATACAGCATTGAATGCATGACTTGAGGCAGTTTAATTAATGCCTAATTAAATTAATGGGAGCTTAATTTTGCCCATTAATGACGGGCAAAATATGGTTATCTTAGGTTTCGGAAAGCAGAT